ATCACTTATGAGTGTTCCTTTATAATTCTTGAATTGTCCTAGTTGTGAGAGACAAAACACTTCTTTTGACACTCTAATCCACAATGTTAACACTTAAGTAATTTATTCCAGGAACACAACTAAATTACTGATGGGATGGTCCCATATTATGGAAAGGTAGTATGAGCCTTGTCAGATTTGAAGTTCCTGTTTTTCAATAAAACATGCTTTTATCTCCCTCTCAGTTCTTTCCTAAAGCTCACCTTCTAGTTCATGGTATAGAGAGCGTTCAGGAAGAAAGCAGCTGTCATTGAGAGTTAAGGGTTTTTTTAGTTTGATGATTTGATGAGGAGTGTTGGTTTTGTTGTGGGTTTTTTTAAAGTCTCTTCTGGGTTACACACAGACTGTGAAATAGTTATATCTGCAGCAAAAATACTGGCAAAATGTGCAGCCCCAGCTGCACACGTTATCAAGAAATCATTTCTGGAAGATGCTTGTTCCTCTCAGAAAGGGGAAGAATGTGGCTACTGCCATCAACATGCGTCAGATAGTGAATAAATTTTAACATTGAAGTATCAGAGCTTGACCACTCTGTAGAGAGGAGACTTTTTTTTTTTTTTTAAAGTATCATATGATTATTGAAAATATTCATACAAATATTCAGCACTAGTTGAAGATGTATGATCAGCAAATCACTTTAATTTTGTTGCTTGCCTGGTTTTGGCCAATATATATGTGTGGGTTTTTTAATGGGATTTGCATGGCACTCAACACCTTCCTTGGATCTTTGCAGGTACTGAATGTAGTCCTCTTGTTAGCTGTAGGATGTTCTGAGCTCATACTGAGAAGATGAAAATTGAGATTCAGTTCTTTGTTTGAAGTACTTACCTGCTTTGGGTTGCTTAAAAAAAATCTTTTCTCATGGTCATAGTCTTTGTACTGAGTACTTAGCATCCGTGTACAAGGTTTCTATGCATATGAAATACCAGCATTTTAATAAAGATTTTTATATTGCAACTCTCTGTGTTATTTTTAAATTTTTTTAAATAGCATTTTTGAAGTTCTGTTTTGAAAGCAGGGAGTCAAAGTCAATTAGATTTCTTGTAACATGTCTGTTCTTTTCAACAGCTTTTACCCTTGGTCAAAGTGAAAGACCTAGCACATTGATCTGCCTGATAGAGGCACATTAGAAAAGAAAAAAAACATGAAACATTTGTTAGCTTGTTACTGTGGTAATAGTTATTCATTAGTGTGGATCACTAACAAACTCAAGTCTGTGGTTTGTCCTTTTCTATTTTTTAGGAGAATTCCAATATTGAAAAGTTAATAGTTACAGGTTAAAATGAAGAGCATGAAAAGACAGTAAAATGGTTTTGTTGTTTGGCGTCAACCACTTTATTTCCTCATTAAACTACCTCTTAGTTTGTAATGGTCAGAAAGGAGGATTTAGGAGTAGGGTGCTTGGATTCTGCTCATATGCCTACTGGGAATTTATTATGTGATCTCAAGCTTTCCTTTCAGTCTAAGGTTCTGGATTTCTTTTAGCTAAAACATGCAAAAAATAACTTAGAGTTTGGTAAACAGGTATATCAAATCTTCCCC